CCGGCCCCGGCCGCACCCCCGCCGCCGCGCCGCCGCCGCCGCCGCCGCCTCCCCCGAGCCAACTAGTCTGTGAGGGCGGCGACCAGCTCGGCTTATTTAAAAGGGGTGGGGACCCGACGAGCGCTGAGAGGCGCAGCCACTGCCTGCAGAGAGCGCGGTCGGAGCTCCTCCTCCTTCCGCCACCACCTCCCGACTGCCGTCCGCTGGCCTGGCTGGCGCCTGCCAACCGGAACACATTATGCGGTCACCTGGTTACGAGGGACCAATCACACCCAGAGTTCCCTCCACGCGCCCGCCTCGGAGCGGAGGCACGTGACTCGCAGTGCCCCTCCCCCGCCCCGCCCCGCGGCTGCTCCGCCCCGCCCCGCGGCTGCTCCGCCCCCCGCGCGGCGCGCCGCCGACTCCGGTTTCCATTCATCTCGCGCAGCCCGGAGCTTTCCGGTCCCGTGGGAAGCGCACCGGGCATTAGTTACTCTAAGCCGTCCCGGGTCGGTGGGCGTTGTAGAAAGTCTCGTTAGTAAAGAGCCGATTCCGTTAGCAACTCGATTTCACCGGGTGTGACAGCTGACTCAATTGATCGGCCACCGAACTTAGTTCCCCCCGAATTGTTGAACCGTTTTTGTAACTAAACGCTCCTCCTCTCTTGCCTTCCAAACGTTAGTTTTCGCCTGCAACTTGACCACAGCAACCCCCGGAGCCCTGGTCCTCCTCTCAGTAGAGCGCTGTGGCTTTGTGTCTTGAATGAGACCCGAGGACACGTCACCCTTCACTTCTTTCTCACTAAAATAAGGAACGAACTCGTCCCTCCCGGCCCGGAAACGCTGGGTTTCACCGAATCGCTTTTCTCCCCTCTGCTTCCCCCTTTGATGGCAGGAGTTTCCAGATTTCCCTTCTTTGGCCAACAACCCATGAAGCACGATTTTCTCATACAAAATTGAGACCCACAGAGTGAGGTGGCACGGTCCTGACCTGATGGAGATGATGATAATGATAGTTAACATTTGGGTAGTGCTTAGCTAATAGCGCGCCCAACCCCATTCCAAGTTAGGTAGGTACCCGTTTAACCCTCGACAACAATCCTTTCACAGATTTTAGGGAAGAAAGTGAGACGAATTAACATTCCCAAGGCCAAGTGATTGCTCAGGTGTGGGGCCGGGATTTGAGCCCAGATATTGTGGATCCCCACAGGCACCTTATTGTGATTACCAGAAAATAAAGGTAGAAGTAAAACTTGAGAGGAAGTGACACTGTATATCAGGATATTTATTTAAGGGAGGACAATTTTTTTTTAGTGTAGATTTGTAAATGTTTTCCCTTCACTCAACATTCTCTTCCATGTGCCCGTCACTGCATGTGGGAAACCTTCTGGCCCTCAGTGAGCTCTCAGGCATGACAAAACAAAGGCTCAGAGAGTCCAATTGTCTGAGGTCATGCTCCTGGAAAGTGCTTGTACCTGGGGTTCAAACCTAGATCTAACTGACCCCAAAGTACATGCTGGGGGAAAGAGGATGGATTTTTACCCTGGAAACACAAGACGATTGAGTAATAGGAAGCTGGCGTGTCACTATCAGATGGTTTGTCATGAGGTCACTCCCAACAATAAGGACTGAAGGATGCAAGACCAATTCAGAGACTTTATGTTCAACTAGGAGAGAAGGCAGTGGCAGTGACTGAAGTGGGGGGAAAGGACTTGAGATCTTTGGGGAGGTAGAATTGAAATACTTGATGACTGGGTATGGAGGGAGAAGTGAAGAGGGGAGGCAGAAATGGCTGCTAGGATTCTGGCTTTGAGGATTGGATAGAGAGCGGTGACTTTTTCCCCAGAGGGAGAACACAGAAAGAGTAATAGGTTTGAGGAGGAAGATAATCTTTGCCCTATGAAGTGGAACATCCAAATGGAGCTCTCCGGGGGAAAGTTGGATCTATAGCTCTTTTGACTAAGTCTGTTTTGTGATATCCCAACTTACATTTTCAAAAATTACACACATATTCAACCCCCCAAAAAGTAATTGGGGAGATTTCCTAAAGTTGACATGCTGAGAATATAACATTTCCTGGTGGTTACTTTCATAGAACAGCTTGGAATCTATGGTTTTAACAAATGGCGCATTTTATGTAAAACAAAACTGTTAAATGAAAAACTATTTACAATTGTATTGTCGTTAGAACATATAGAAAGTAATGAAGCCATGGGTACAGAAGCGATGGTCTTGAGAAGATGTGTATAATTTTAAAGATTTTTTAAAAAGGCAAACTAGGTGAATAGAGAGATTTAAGTGGCATTTAAGTGAAACCTGCAAAGGTGAGCAGTGAAGTCCAAGGACCTGAGCACTAATCAGAAAAGACTGATTGATCAGGTGAGTTCCATGAGGTGTGTGGGGGGCAGGGGGGCTCACATCTGCCTCTCATATCTGCAATGGCTGCATCTAGAACAGTGCCTGGTCAGTAGGCAGCAATAAGCAATTCCCTGAAGAGTCAAGTGTGGGAAAACTACAAATGCCATGGGTTATGGCAACTGGGTGATTGGGGATGTGTTGTGAGCCCGGTGGCCGGCAGTGGGCAAAGAAATGAATAGGAGTTGAGAAAGTGAAGACCCCAAGTGAGAGCTTCTTTTCCTAAACATTTTGACTGAGAATAGACATGCAGTAACAGTTAGAGGGAGATGTATGGTTAAGGGGTACATTAAGAAAAAAACATCCTCCGATGATGGAGAAAAGGGAAGCAAAGAATAGTAATGTGATTTGAATTAAGCAAGAGTTTGACTCTGTGATATAATCTGAGACCTTGCATATGGCTGCTGATGGCTGAATTATCTCTTGGGATATATCTTGTGATTAGTGCTTTACATGGGTTCAGAATAAGCCCATTCATTCATTTTATTCATTCAATACCTAAGCTGTTACCACATGCCACATACTTTTTAGGTACAGAAGATGTTGTTTTGACGAAGATAAACAAGGTTCCTGTTCTCATGAAACGTATCTTCCAATAAAAGAGTCAACAAGCAGTGTTGTCCATCACACCTCAAAATCATGGCCCAGGAATAACTACTGAATCTTTATTCCAAACAGTAGGGTGGAGGAAGGGAATGGAGATTTTTTTTTAATTTTTTTTAACGTTTATTTATTTTTGAGACAGAGACAGAGCATGAACGGGGGAGGGGTAGAGAGAGAGGGAGACACAGAATGGGAAGCAGGCTCCAGGCTCTGAGCCATCAGCCCAGAGCCCGACGCGGGGCTCGAACTCACAGACCGAGAGATCGTGACCTGAGCTGAAGTCGGACGCCCAACCGACTGAGCCACCCAGGCGCCCCAGGGAATGGAGATTTTTAAGAAGATGCATATAGCATAGAACTTACATATCATTGACTTCAAGCTTAGCCATATGGCCACACACAGCTCTATGAAAGGATCAGAAAATGTAGTCATATAGCTGAGGAACTAATGCATAGGGAATAACTGGGCATTGGATGATAACTCTACCCTACAATCTTAAGGTAAGATTAGAGAAGTCTCAGCGTAAAGCAAGGAAGATCATAATACAATTTCATATCCCTTTGCAAGCATATATGGAAACTTATGCAAAGAGCTCTATAGTGACCTTAAGCTAAGAGGACAAAAAAAGTGGAGAGAGGCTTAAACTATAGAATAAACTACCTCAGATACAAGAAAGATTTTATGGTGGTCAGGTGATTAGGATTACATATTATATGTGTATTGTGACTAATTGGATTCCATCTTGAGTATTGTGACTAGTTGGTCATATAGAATAGGATTTTGTGGGGTGCCTGGGTGGTGCAGTCGGTTAAGCGTCCGACTTCAGCCAGGTCACGATCTCGCGGTCCGTGAGTTCGAGCCCCGCGTCGGGCTCTGGGCTGATGGCTCAGAGCCTGGAGCCTGTTTCCGATTCTGTGTCTCCCTCTCTCTCTGCCCCTGCCCCGTTCATGCTCTGTCTCTCTCTGTCCCAAAAATAAAAATAAATGTTGAAAAAAAAATTAAAAAAAAAAAAAGAATAGGATTTTGTGTGTAAGTAATAGGTAGGGTTTCTTTGGGCAGAGTCTGCCCTTATCACCGTATTCTCAACGGCATATGTGAACAAAAATGTTAAGAATTATTATTAGACCTGATTTGATGTGGAACGCCTGGACTTTTCTCATTTCTGAGTTTGGAAAATTATAATCGGTATCTTTAAGCAAGTAGGGCATTTGATAGCGCTGGCATTCATATTTAAGTCATCTGTCCAGTGCCTCTTCCATCTGACTCTTGCTACACCTTCTGAACAGTTCTTCTACCTTCTCTCTTCTCATAGCCTGCAGGTGTCTTTCTGTCCAGTGAGTCAGTCGAGATAAGAATGTTAATTTGACTTGGTGCTCTGAAAAGAATTAAAAAATGTGTTAGTTTGGCATTCCATTAAGGGCAGTTAATGTTCATTGGACACATAGTACTGGCCCCAAATGTCCACTGTGATTACAACTCCAAACGCTAGGGCGCTAAGACAAGTTCTAGGAAGGGCCTGCAGTTTTAAGAGACTGGGAGTTTCTCTTTGCCCTTCCTGGAGAGCCTTTTCTCCTCTCTGCCGTTCTATGGTTTATTTGCTTCCAGTTGCATTTGTCTAAGTGCTATAGGAAATCTAAAATCTTAGCCCACAGTGGTGCTTCCTCAGATCACCTTCCGGTGGGGCTGGAAGGAGCCTTTCTCTCCCGCCGAGCGCTCCGTTCAGGATCCTGGTTTTCTACAGCAGATGCGGCTCTACCCCTAGCTCCAAAGGCTGTAACCAACCGCCTGTGATCTGCGCTCCACTAGTTTCAGGAGGGAGCAGCCCTCCACACGTGCCCCGGAGACAAACTCACTGCCAAATCCACTTTGGAACAAGGCAGAGTATGAATAAATACATTAAATGTTTTCAGTTGTTTTTTACCCAATCCTGACAATACTCCTTCCCTCGGCATCTCCATGCTTCGCTATTTCCACTTGTTTCACTTGAGGGATGTCTTGGTGCTTTTAAGATGTGTCAATTTTACTCTTAAAATGGAATCCTTGGCCAAATTGGTTTACTGAAGTTAGAACCTTTTTCTTGCAATGATTTCACGTGTTCCCTCGGTTTCTTCTGGTAGCCTTTTTGACAGCAGCCTCCTAAAATCAAGCTGATATTAGAAACACTGTAGGAAGAGGAGTCTCATTAAACTTGACAGCAGGGAAAAGTTTAAAGAAGTCTTTATAACCAAGTTTGTTCCCTGGAAACAAAACTCACAGATTTTAGGGCATGATCTTTTCCTCATGATGAGTCCATTGCCTGTTGTGGAGACAAATCAATTTTTATCCCCACAGTGCGAGATCCACCCTGTACTACCTCTAGAATGTTTTTCAAATTTTAACATTTATTTATTCTTGAGAGACAGAGAGCTCGAGTGGAGGAGGGTGCAGAGAGAGAGGGAGACACAGAATCCGAAGCAGGCTCCAGGCTCCAACGTCGGTACAGAGCCTGACGCGGGGCTCAAACCCACAAGCTGTGAGATCATGACCTGAGCTGAAGTCGGACGCTTAACCGACTGATCCACCCAGGCGCCCCTAGAATTCTTCTATCAGAAAGGATTAGGATAGCAAACTGGATTGATGTAGGGGCCAGGAAATTTGTCTTAAGAGACACGTTTGGGGGCACCTGGGTGCCTCAACTGGTGAAGCATCTGACTCTAGATTTCGGCTCAGTTTATGAGCTCACAGTTTGTGAATTCGAGCCCCATTGCCAGCCCTGAGCCGCACTGATGGTGCAGAGCCTGCTTGGGATTCTCTCTCTCTCTCTCTCTCTCTCTCTCTCTCTCCCTCTCTCTCACTCGCTCGATCAAAATAAATAAATTTTTCACAAGAGAGAGACACATTTGAATAGCACTTAAGAAATGAACAATTTAAATTGCATTTTGGGGGGACTAGGGCCTTGGCCCCTCTGCTGAGCAGCCTTGGCTTCTATAAGGGTGATTCTTTGAGTAATGCCACACACCCCATGA